TGAAAAAGTTCCTGAAAGACTTACCAAGGATAATCAACATCTACAATATTACGAAGACGATCTCTTTATTCAAATTTTATTTACTTAAAATATTATTATTCATTTGAGTACAAAAATAAAAAGGAAAACCAAGGAAAACAGTATACACACTTCTTACTTTACAGTTATAATTACTTTCGAATATCATAACTTCTTTTATCTTTATTTTATTGGTTTCAAATACTCGATTGTAATTGGCTGTCAATAGGTTAAAATAATTAAATAATTAACTCCTTTTCTCCAAAAATCACCAACCAAACAAAATAAATAAGACCTTGAAAAAATCATTGGTAAAAGTCAAGCTAAGCCCAAACTTAATAACTAAATAAATCCTTTTACTAGCTTGAAAAATCTTTAAGTTATGCATGGATCACTTTCATGAATTATTGTACCAACCTGCAATGCGACATATAGTTTTGGTCGAGATAACCAAATTGGATTAGATTAGCAATTAAGGGTTTTGAATAATTTGCATAGAATAATAAATTCAAACTTTATTATTATCATTGTATATAAAAAAATAAAAAGTTAGATGGTAATCGGTTTGAGTTGATGGTCTGTATAAACGTGTACATGTAACTAACGCTGTGGCATGCTCCTTGCGAGTCGTTACATACGTGCTTACTGCTTACCCCGTACCACAATTTTAAATTTCTATTATACTATTGCCCTGATGTATTCAAGTTGCCATTGTATAAAATTAAGTATAATATGTGACAACAGACTCAAATACCAACTGTTAGGTTATATATGATTATACTATTTTAAATTTCTATTATACTATTGCCCTAATTGTTTATTGCTATTTTTATAATGGATAATGTTATATATACATATATATTAATCTTTTTAATCTTTTTTTCTTCTATCTTTTCATATATTTTTTTATTTGGATTCATTTATAATCGATCCAATCAATTTGGAATAAATGTGTTATTGATATTGAGGTTAGATGTATGAGTTCCATTAAAAAGTTAATTGAAAAAGATAAAACTGTTAGTTAAGATCCACGAAGGATTAAAAACAAACAATTGTCAAAAACTAGTCTAAAAACTTAAAAATGAAGAAACAGTACAAATGTAGTGTAAAAATGTGTTAAAATGTAAGTAGAAACGGATAGAAACGCGGTGTAGAAACATAAAAACAGTAGAAATGCAAGTTTTTATATTTTTTATCGTTTTTACTTAAACTCAATTTTTTTTCTTCAAAAAATCTATTTTCTATTTTTTAAATTCAATTTTCTCTTTTAATGTTTTTGGATTTATGTTGTATATAGTTATATGACTTATATCTTTTAAATATAAAGTTATTTATTAAATTTTGAGAAATGACTTATGTGGAATTTTTTTTTCATACATATATATAATTTTATATTTTGACCTTAAGTAGTAAAAACTTTACGTGAAGGAGTTTTGAGTTTGAGTCTGTTACAGACCTTGAGATCACCACCCTAAGAGCTAGCTCAAAGAATGGGAGTGCCCAAGGCTTTATAAATCCCACATTAACTTCCTATACAACTAATGTGGGACTCATAAAATTACCACCATTTTTAAGGGCCGACGTCCACGGCGGCTTTCACTCTATCGACACTGACCTGACGGTAGCCCTTTCTCCCCTTGGGCGGCTTCACTCACCTATCAGTATTCAGTGCCTATAGACACCTTAATCCAGCCTATGAGTAACCCTTTCCGTGGCCTCAACTCTTAATGAAAACATCAATTGTTACGGATTTTGAGGTCACCACCCAAAAGCTAGCTCAAAGGATAAGAGTGCCCAAAGTCTTATAAACCCTATATTAACTTCCTATACAACTAATATGAGACTCGTAACAGAGTCATCAAAATAAAGAAAATAATATTGAAAATAGCGCTTCAATATAAATCCGAGAATGCTTGAATCTAATTAAATCAACTTTTTAAATAAAAAAAGAAAGACTAATAACTGTTGCTGATGTATGAAAATAATATTTTTATATAGGAAAACAACTTAATTTAAATTCAACATGAAATGGTCAAGAAATAGAAAATCACAACCCCACACACACACACCATCATTCATGACAATAGGGGATGATTTATATATGGTCGACTTAGTTAATTAACGGGGCGGCGGATATAATATGATAATGATATCACGAAGTTATAAATATGAAAAAGTAGTTTGTCATAATGGTAATTTGTTAACGGATTCTGACTTCTTCTTTTTTTCTGTTATCAAAATCTACTGATACTATTCTAATTTTTTAGGAGGGTTTGTTTTTTCTACGGTTACTGCAGATAAGATGTTTACAGTAATCCTAATATGACATTATTTTGGGACGAAAATTATAGTGTTTTTATAATTTTAATTTATTTCAAAATTATTATAGTCTTTATAATTATAATTTTCTAATCTTTCAATTTTAAAATGATATCATTTTGAAAGTAAAATACAGATAATTTATCTGCATTGCAAAAATATTTTTTTATTTTTTAAAATGTGGGATCTGATATATATCTACAGGTACACAATACCTGTCTCACAAGTCACAACATGACAAAAAGCGAATATAAGATGATGTGGGGATCCATTTGGTATGAGGAATTTTTGGAGATTTATGGAAAATTGAATTTTTAAAATTTTTAATTTTCAGATATTATTGTAAACTGAATGTAAAAATTATATTTTTAAAAATTAAGATTCTTAGATAAAAAAAAAATTCCTCTACTAAACATCCCCTGAAAGTAAGGTTGCATAAAAAATAAAAAGTGTCCCACTGACATAAAAATCAACGGGGCCACATGTTTTTTTTTTTTTAAAAATAAATACTAATCCATGGATCAGCTGCACCACTTTTTGTTTTTCTTGCAATATTACCTTCACATTATGGCAAAAACACCGTACAAAAATTTTTTGTGAAAGATTTTTCAACTAGAAGCATATTTAATAAGTTTTGTCAGATTAATACAGTCAAATACATCAAAATAAATAAAAGGGGGATATTTTGACTACTAAAAATGTCAACTACCACCTTATTACCTATCAAATCACCATTGGATCAAAGTGAGAGAATATTAAAAAGTTTTTGAAGAGAGAGAAAATGTTAATCCAATAATAATTAGATAGATAATAAGATGATAGTAGAAATTTTTAATAATCAAAATATCATCCCTCAATAAATAATAGGACCAATTCCGTCAAATATTATTAGGGGATTACTGGTCCACATTGAATTCTGCAGACAGTTTTGTAGGAGAAGCTGACAGCACCCAAACCCTTCATGAACATTAATGACACTCCTTCTCCACATGAGCTCTATGTGTGTCAGTCCCATCAAATACCTTGACGAAACCAAACCAGAGAAACAAAAGTAATCACGTCAAAGTGTTTTCCATCTTTTACATACTGCTATATCAATTTGGAGGATTCAATTAGAATTATATATATTTTATACTTTTGGTAAGAATAATTTTTTTAAAATTACTCCGTAGTTATTTTAGGTAACTATAATAGAATTAAAGTCCTACTAGAATATTGTAAGCATTAATCAAGTTTTATACGCTAATAAAATAAATTGAAAAATAATTTATTTTTAATTTTTACCTACTCTATTTTCATTTAATTTTTAGAAATTCTAAGTTATCTCTCGTTACAATTGTATAACTATTGGTTTAATTGACGGTTAACATTCAAAAAAATTTACCTACTCTATTTTCATTTAATTTTTAAAAATTCCAAGTTATCTCTCATTACAATTGTATAACTATTAGTTTAATTCACTGTTAACGTTCAAACTTCACTGCTTTTAAATTGTTTATTTAGTTCACCAAAAAAAATAAAATTTGTTTATTTAAAATTTTATTTTTGTATTCAATAAAATAATTTAAAAGTACATATAAACACATAATTTTAATTTTATTTGTCCTGATGATATAAGCATAAGTTGTGTCAAAATAAATTTTTTCAATTAAATTATTTTTCAAGTTATTTTATTAATATAATAAAACTTGATTAATGCTTATAGTACTCTAGTAGGACTTTAATTCTATTATAGTCACCTAAAATAACTACGTAGTAACTTTAAAAAAATTATTCCTACCAAAAGTATAAAAAAATCAAAATATAATTCTAATTGAATCCTCCAAATTGATATAGCAATTAGCAAAGATGGATACCGTCAAACACTTTGACGTGAATACTTTTGTTTAATGATTTGGTTTCGTTAATGTATTTGACCAGACTGGCACACATGATATGGAGAGAGAGTGTGGATGCCGTCTATTTCTTTTGCGGGACTGGTCCCGTAATTTCTTTTCACGTATTTAGGTAAAACTTATCAAATATACTTTTAATGAAAAAAAATTCACAAAAAATTCTTAGTATGGTGCTTTTGCCTCACATTACTCATAAATATAATGGGAGTTGAAAGGTACAAAACAAGGACTTTACAATTGATTGTATATAAGATCTAAAATCAAATTACACATTTATTCACTTTCTCTTTTCCATAATATTAGTAAAATAGATAAATTATTCTATCTATCATTTTTTTACCTATTTTTTCTTATCACTCTAAAATATTATTAGATCAGAATCTTAACTAACATTTTTCTTTCTCTCTAGATGATTCTGATCTAACAGACATTTTTTCTTTCTCTCTAGATGATTCTGATCTAATGATGCTGGAGGATGGTAGGCGAAGGTAGACAAAAAAAAGATGATAAATAGAATAACTTATCGCTTAATAATATACATTCAACGTCTAATATATAAATAATTTCGTCGATCAAATTATCTACAAAAAAAAAAAAAAAAAAAGGCTGGTGACTCAGCAACCATATAATAATCAATCTGTTTGCACAACTATTCTTACCTTCAATAAATAATGATATTGACAAGCCGCAACTTCTACGTATATGCTTATAAACTTTTCTGTCAATTCATCTGTAAAGCTTACAATTGAGTTTTCTTGCGTTTGCGTTATGGATGACCTTAATGTTATACTGTCAGAGACCAACAACAATATTGTGGTCATGCCGCTGCCATCGTCGACAACGGTGTCAACTTCCAACAATCCCATAGATTTTGAAGCTTTTTTTGATCTCGACGAGGCTCTTGCGATGACAGGAGAATCACGCCTCCCATTTGTGGCGTGGAAGACCTTCGTTTCCAACTTACCGGCGGTTAACGACGTCAAGGACGATGATGTTTGTTCCGTTTGCATGGAAGGCTTTGACCACCACAAATCAGGTGGTGGAAACAAACGAGTCCCATGCGGTCACGTGTACCACTCAAACTGCATAACCGTCTGGCTCGAGCACTGCAATTCTTGCCCGCTTTGCCGCCGCCATGTCTCCCTTCAGCTCTAAGTAATGCAATTAGTTTTTTGTTTTATTTTTTTAAGGGAAAAGTTCACCAATACTCCTGTGATTTACTCCGAAGAATCACTTATGCCCTGTGATTTTTTTTCTTATCACATATGTCCTTATGGTTTGTAAAAGGGTATATTTTTTTATCACATATGCCCCTGTGGTTTCTTAATTTTTACAAAGCACATGGACACATGTGATCGAAAAAAAACTACAAGGGCATAAGTGATTCTGGAGTAAACCATAGGGGCGTTGGTGAACTTTTCCTTTTTTTAATTAAACCTATTGCTATGCCCTCTTGCTTCAAACTTTGAACAGAAATTCCATATTAGAATATTTGAGTTTTGAAATTAATTTCAGTGCTGGATGTTGTTTACAATATAATTTTAGGAAAGCTAGTGCTATCTAGATTAATCTGTTTTAAATTAGCTGAAAATTTATTTTATGTTAAAAAAAAGTCGAACTAAATTTTTTTCTAGGCTTGTAAACAAATACCTGTTATTCCCATTTCCTTTTTAGATTCGTAAGCCATTTTATATTGAATATAAAAATATATTATTTATCAAAGAAAAAGATATAAGTTATGTTACATTTTCTTTTGTCATTTTTATGTTTTTTTAATAAAAATTTCAAAATGGAAATTTTTGTCCAAATTTAAAATATACTTATAAGTCGCTTGCATTAATGTTTATAATTAATCTACTATTTAAATATTACCGACAAGTCTTACATCATACATTTTTGTGGCCTTGTGATCCTAAAAAGCCCGCGTTCGTTGGGAAATATTTATTATGGTTCAGGACCACCTAATGATATGGTGCTTCCTCTCACATCATTAATTTTTTCTTTTTCTTTTTACTCCTGTTATTTTTTCTTTTTTTCAATTTTACTCATCCATTTACACTAAGGAACTATCTAAAAATGGTGGTCCCGAGCACAATAAATAATCTCCCTTCGTTGGCTTATATTTTTAACGATAACCGTATATATCATATTCCAGGAGAGTGGAGACATATTCCGGGTATATGCAAACGAGGAAGTTTGTATTTCTTACATATTTAAAGTGTGTATCATAAGTCGTAACGATTACGTCAACTAATATATATATTTTTTAATTTTAATTTTAATTTTTATGTTTAGAAAAATTTTTACAACAAAAATAAGTTCAATAGTGATCTAACTGTTTCAAGATAAGATGAGTCAAATCACACACGGTTGAAGGTTGAAGAATTTGGGCCTTAAAATTATAACAAGTAGGCTTGAATCTATAGTGGTATGTGTTTCTCCTTGTAAGGGTTGTAGTGTGATTCTAGCGTAATAGAAGTGATTGGGGTACCTGCAAAGACATTATGACGCTTAAGTCAGTATTAATGCTAGGTATATGTTATACTTTATTGGAATTAGATAATCGTACCTGGCTTTGTTCACTTCGTATTTATAGTAAGCTTTGTGCCTCCTTTTGTAGGCGACATACCTTCTTATTGGTTGTTATGGGTTGTTGTCTCTCTGTCTTAGTTAGTGCCTTTCTGACTATTTTCTTGGTGAACAAGTCTATACAATTATGTCTTCTTAGATTAAAGGCAAGCTGGAGCTATTTTACCTGTGTTGGCCCTTATGCGTGGAGGAACTCAGCTCGTTACTATAACTTTCCTTAATCTTTATGTTATATAAGGCGGCTTTACATGATAGTCTGCGCAATGCTTGATGTGTACATTTTATGCACTGGGATCATTGCGCCTTCATGGGCCCTTACTGGGCTTTAAATCTCATGGTTTGTATATTATCTAGATATTATACTATATTTATATGTAATAACTTATGTGTCAAAGAATAAAAAATAAAAAAACTATTTCTTACTTTTGTCATGGGTTATGTTTATCTCATTTTACATGAGATAAATAACTTTTCTACACACATTAAAAGGTATTGAATCCCACCACTCTTTTTTCTCTCTCCTCTTATCTGTGGGTCCCGCTTATAATTTTATTTCTACAACATGAGGTAACTTTTTTTCTACAATATAAGAAAAATATTTCCCTTTTGTCATTCCCAAACAATAGGTTAATTTTCTATAAAATAATAAATTAATTTTATCAAATATTATCTTTAATATTTTTGTTCTAAAATAAAAATAAGAAAACTATAATTGATAACATTGTAAATGTTCACACTAAAGGAAGCAAATTGCTAAAATGTATTATGTTGATTTTGATTTTATTATAAATATTGAAAATGTTATTGTATAATTAGTACGTAATAAGTGATTGGAATTTCCATTAATAAATGAGTGCTGAAATAATTCTTAAAGGCGCAAATTTCGAAGCTGCAATCCGTCCTATTGTACATGATCAGTTGCACAGATTTTAATTTAAACTGAAATCACAAAAAAATTGCAGATAACGATCTGCATTTCAAATCGAACGGAGAAAAGATCAAACGGGTACGATATTCAAATTTCAATTGAACACTTTCCTCATCAATAGCAGAGGAAGGCAACACATTAATCGCTAACTCGCAAAATATCATAATACGCATACGCAATGCAGTAAGCCGTTCAAATTCAACTGCTATACCCCACTTCATTTCATGTACATGTTTGCAACTACTTATTTGTTACGAGAGAGAAAGATAAAAAAAAAATAATAATAATAATAAAACTTTCATAAATAATAATGAGTTAATTACAATCAGTACAAGTGAGCACGAGAGCTATTTTGGTCTTGTTTTTAGTCTTTACCTAATTGAATCTGGATGAGAACATAAACTAAGAACTGAGGTGAAATCCTCCTTATTATTCAATATTTCCAGAATGGAAGAACAGAGCGCAGAAGGAGAATCCCCTAAAGCAGTTCTCAATTGTATAGACCTCTCCAATCCTAACATAAACCAATCCGTTAATTTGCTCAAACAGGTAAGAGGTTTCCCCTTACCTATGCTCTGTTAGAGAACTAGGATTTTGTTTGTTTTTTGTTTTTATTGTTTTTTTTTTTTGCTTCAATTCTCAACTTCAACTTGTTCCCTGTGGTGAAAAAGGCTTGCACCGATTCTGGGTTTTTCTACCTTGTCAATCATGGAATAAGTCAGGACTTGATGGACGAGGTTTTTGCTCAAAGCAATAAACTGTTCACTCTTCCTCTCAACGAAAAGATGAAGCTTCTCAGGAAGGAAAAGCATAGGGGCTATACCCCTGTTCTTGATGAACTCCTTGATCCTGAGAACCAAATTCACGGTATGCACACACTCTTTCATCTTTCATGTTTATGTTTCTTCTCTTCAACTTCTGCTTCCTGAACCATGGTAGTCTTTTCCCTTCGCTGGGTTGGGTTAACTAGGAGATTACAAAGAGGGGTATTATATTGGAGTTGAAGTGGCTGATGATGACCCAGAATCGCAAAAACCTTTTTATGGGCCAAACGTATGGCCTGCATCAGGTAACTCTGTCAAATTTATAAACTTTGAGACTTTTGAAGAAGAAAATCTGAATTCTACTTTGGTTTTCACTTAAATTTTTGTTGCATTTTAGATGTTCTGCCAGGGTGGAGGGACACTATGGAAAAATTCCAATGGGAGGCATTGTAAGTTTTTGTGAAGTTGTTTTTATCTGTAATACTTTTCAATATTACTACTGGGTTTTGGTAATTTTCTGCTCAGCGTCTCCAGTGGACGTTTGAACCTGTCTAATTTCCCTTTTAATGGAACTAGCTTGTTTTCTCTTCTTTATTTTCAAATAAATGTTGATGCTCCTTTCATTTATAGAAAATATAATAGATCATCTTTAACTACATTGGTTTTTCATTTGGACTGAAATTCTCTAATATGACAATTATTTAGCAATGCAAAGGAAAATCACGGTGTGATTCAAATATTTGTCATCTTTTTTATTGTTTGTTTGTTATGTTATGGGATATCCAGAAAAGTGGGGAAAGAAGTTGCAAAGATAATAGCCCTTGCACTTGATTTGGATGCTAATTTTTTTGTTAAGCCAGAAATTCTGGGAGAGCCCATTGCAATTGCGCGCTTGCTACGCTATCAAGGTATTGAACGAGTAGTCTTGGTTGGTGCCTCATACCTTGTAGAATTACGAACTAAATAACTTATACATACAGTAGTATTCATAAATCATTCTTGTGATTGTGCCACGAAGATCAAATCTCGGATCCCTCACAAGGATTATATGGAGCTGGAGCTCATACTGACTATGGTTTGATTACTCTGTTGGCAACAGATGATGTCCCCGGTCTTCAAGTAAGAAGGCAACTGATATATCTGCTTATATTATAAATATTTCACTAATTAATTAAAGACATTAACATTTTTGTTTGCAGATATGTAAGGATAAGGATACTAAACCTCAGATATGGGAGGACGTGGCACCATTGAAGGGGTTTGTTATATCCTATTGTCCTGTAACTTTTATAGGTTAATAAGGCAACTAAGGAGGTTGCTTCTTGCATGATATGCATTATTGAGATTTCTCTTTTCTTCTTAACTCTGACCTTTTAACTTATGAGTAATTTCTGAAAATTTGCTAATGCACCCCTTCTTCCATTGATATTTTCTTTTTCTTTTTTTAATCCTAATGTCATAGCTAGGCTAACCAGCTATCATTTATATCAATATATGCAATGGGAGTCACGGAAGAATTGATGAAATTTCATTTGACAGCATCACAACACTCCACAAAACAATTTGACCTAAGTAAAATTACATCATCTGCCTAAGCTAATATATTTCCAAAATTTTAATCCATTTTTTGAGCTTCATGTTATCAAGTATCAAACACAATTGACTGCAAAAAACAAGCAGTTCGCTACAGTGCCATTTTGAATCATGTCGATCCCCTGAACTATTTACATTATTTCTCTTATTGTTTGTTGATAGAGCGTTTATAGTGAATCTTGGAGACATGCTGGAGCGCTGGAGCAACTGTGTTTTCAAGTGAGAAACCTTTCCTCGTGCAAATTTTTTCAACATATATATGTTGCTACTTTTTGCTATATTTTCTTTTATTTATTTATTTATTCTCTAATTTATTTATTCTATTTTTTTTCTTATCTACCTTATTTACAACTTATTTGTATTCTATTTTTTTTCTAAGTTTTAAATTTTTATTTTTATTTATTTATTTATTTATTTATTTTTTCCTTCTTTTCTCTCAATCTTTTTAGTGGGGTTGATCAAGATCCTGATTAATTTAAGACATTGTTGATGTTAATATATATCGCTGTTTTTTTTATTTGGGTTAATCCGCCGTGCACTTCAATGAATAATTTGAAATAAAGATATTATTTGAATTGATAGCTTTTCTTGAACTTAACTTTATCAGTGCATCTTTTTTATTTGAATTGTGTTCATTGCGCAATCAACAACTTGCTTTGTTTATACTCAGGTCTACATTGCACAGAGTTATTGGAAATGGTCAAGAGAGATATTCTGTAAGCCCCATTTCCTTTTTTTTTTTTGGACTTCATTGCGAAGCCATATTACATTATTAAATATTATTTGTTTAGGCTATCTCTGAAGGCCCAGTTGGTTCCTTGTTTGAATTTTCTAATTGCTAATTGCTGCTTACATGTACTTGTTTGGTCATTGATGTTAATATTAAAAGAGGTAGGATATTCATATTAAAAATTGTTGAAAAGTTTGATGAAAGAGTGATTAGAGTAATAGTGAATTGGTAGTAGAAAAAAATGATAGTATGAATATCTTATCTCATGCTAAAATCAATATTTCAAGTAACAGCTTGTAATTCTTTCTGCTAGTAACGAAATTCAGATGGACAAGGACAAACTATATGTGGGATATAGTCATCAGGACCCAAAACTCTTGATTGACTTATGTCTGCTGTTCCCAAACTACCAGGAACCAACATGACGTATAGCACTCTGAAACCGATCAATTCCTATCGTATAGCCATAGACTTAATTTTTGTTTTCTTGAATTTTTCCTTTTGTCAATTGAATATTCTCAATATCGTTATTTGCCTGAATAATTGGCCCAACTTGGATTTTTAGTATTTTCCTTGATTGTGCACCTTTCTATCATTTTAAACATGTAAAAGTTGTAAAATTGAATTGTGATTCGCTCGCTCTTATATTGTTTCGATTTACAGATTGCATATTTTTTGGAGCCTGGTCATGATTGTCTAGTGGAGTGCTTGACAACTTGCAAATCAGATAGTAATCCTCCCAAGTAAGCCAAGACTGCAGTTTGATTTGACAGCATGTTGTTTGTTAGGACTTAGGAAGTTGGTATCAGAGTCAAATTCCTTCCTTCGGTTCCCAAGTGTACTGAAATAGGCAATTTATAACCTGAGTAGTTCTCCACCCAAAGGCTATGTGAACATTTGGGATTAAAATTGACATGTGAAAATGTGTCTTTCTAGCGGTCCTTTAAGATTTTACATCCATGCTATGCTTATAACGTTTTCAGATTTCCTCCTATCTATTACCGGGACTACTTGAGCCAGCGCTACAAGGTTACTCATGCTGATTTGCATATATACAACATAAACCAATCTTGACCAGTCACTCACTTCAAACTGTGCAGCGCTACAAGGTTTGAATCTAGTGATATTATGAAGGGACGTTCTACTCTTCTCGTCATGGGTGTAAGAATTATATAAGTAGAAAAGATCTAATTTATTACTTTAATATTTTGATATTTGTTGCTTAGTCTATTAATAGAATCATCTCTTGTAAAGCGTTTTTAACTCCTCCCGTATCCCTCAATAATAATATGGGAAAAGTATTTATTATTTTAAATGACAGAAAGTTATGTCATTTTAAGAGAGATACAGACACAGAAAATTTGAATTTTAAATTAAAAAAAATTACTCACTTTCTCTCTCCTATGATTTTTGTTTTTCTGTGTCTATCTCTCTCCTAAAATGACATAACTTATGTCATTTAAAATTACAAACACCAAACTCTAATAATATTAGGGGGTGTTTGTTTCAGGTTTTTGAAGAGGATTACCGGTAATCCTTCTTTGGTAAATGTAATTACCACGTTTGGTAGAAGGAATAAATTACGATTTCCGGATATCCAAGGATTACCGGTAATTTGATTTATAAAGAAAAATCAGTATTCAGATTACCAAAAATAATATGGTAATTCGGAATACCAATCAGAATACCAAATAAAAGGAAAGCACAATAATAAATTTTGAGACAAAAATACCCCTAGACCCAATCTATCAATTATAAAAGTAAAAATAGTTTGGGGTTATTTTTGTAAAATAACCTCATATTCCAAGTCATATTTCGTTCTAAATCAAATATGGAATCAGTAATTTTTACCCAATATTCCCGGTAATATTTTGGCGAACCAAACACCTCTTTCGTAAGATTCCAAGTAAACTCAATTTCTACTGAATTCCCATTAATCATGATTCCCGGTCACTAAAAAATTTCTCTTGTACCAAACACACCCTTAGAGTCAATGATTTGGATTGGCGTTGCTCTTGAAGGCGAGTATGTTGTTGGGGCTCAGACTTTAAGTGAATAATGTTGCTGTGTTCAAAATAAAAAAAAGTGAATAATGTTGCAAAATTTAAGTATGAGTAGAAAGTTTCATATTAGTTTTTATTTTTGGTTCACACATTCACTGTCTCAAGGTTTCGCAACGAATTTTGGGTTCCAATGTATCACTGAACAAGGAGTAGGGTACATATAAATTAATCATTTATTAATAATTGTTAAATTTAATTAATCATTTATTTAATTGATTTAATATGAGATAATTGTATTTCTTATACACATATAAAAATATGTGAGTCTTATGTGGGACTATGTAAAAAGAAGAGAGATAAAAAGATAACATGGACTATGTACACTTTTATGTATGCGTAAAAAATAAAATTATCTCCTACAATATAGAAAATATTAATCCCTTAATTTAATCACTTAAAAGAAATGATATCGTTCGTCATACATTTTAACTGAATTAATAATATTTGATGTCATGTCAGTTATGTTAGCAACACCCCGTAGGTTAGAATATTGTTATTACTCACGAGAAAAAAATAAATAAGAACTCAATGTTTTAAGGAAAAAATGTTTGTTATTTTAAATGACATAAAGTTATGTCATTTTAAAAAAGATATAGACACAAAATAAATTTTTTTTATTTAAAATTTAAATTAAAAAAACCACTCACTTTCTCTATCTCACAATTTTTATTTCTTTGTGTCTATTTCTTTTTTAAAATGACGTAACTTATGCCATTTAAAATAACAAATACCAAACCAATGTTTTAAACTTCAAAAAACTTGGTTGATTTATGTAAACGGACCGCCTTGCCCTGTCCCGTTTTCAAACCACCATGGGTCGGATTCGTTGACCCATGATGAGTGGGTTGAAATACTAACTCATCTTTTTTTGAGATGAATAAAATATTAAAAAAATAAATATATTTATTCTAATATTTTATTTCTAATAATGGATAAATATTTTTGAATTTTAAAAAAAATCAAGCAATAATTTGAAGAAGAAAAAATGATTTAAACCAATAATTTCATTTAACATAATTACGCAAATCATATTTTAAAATTAATTAATAATTTCAGTGTTATTATATAACAAAATAATGACATCAAGCATATAAATATTTGCAAATGAACACATCATTTCAACTCGTAATAAGCATATAATCCTATTTGTATAGACACTTGCATTTAAATTCAAAATCAAGATTAAGTTTTTTTTTTATTTTTTGTGTTAATTTCTTTTTTTTGTTGAATCAAAAATAAATAAAAAATAATTGTTGCAGTAAAATAATAGTATCATGGCCCTAAAAGAAATTTTTTTTGTCTTACATAATAGTAATTTGCAAAGACTAATCAAGTCATAATCTCACATCAAATATATATATTTTTTAAAATAATAGGTGAGTTGACCTACGGATTATCCCGCCCCACATATAGATTATGTTGGATTTTTGGGTTGATTACACAACCCCCCATTTTGACGGATTAATCAATTTTACCTTTATCCAACCCACTCTACCAAATCTAAATCCCTACTTTCTATATTTTTATTCTTATGCGGCAGCATAGCACTAGAGTTAGATATATAAAACAACAGTGTGATGTTCCTAGAATATGACTTTACAATGACGTTATGATTAAGTTGCAAAAATAATGAAGTTATAAGGAATTTTTTTTAGATATTTTAATCAATTCATCGCTTCGTAACTAATTCGATTCGAGACGAGTTCTGAAATTAAGATGATAAATCTCTCCAAAGACAATAATAAAGAAGATCCAACATATGCTCTCACATCAATTAATAAAGAGTCTCCTTACATTGCTAATAAATACTCAAAGTACTTATTAGTTTTTACACTACAACGTCACATCAATTATACATCTAATAAAAATCAATAATGCTACAAATATTTAAGTTATCATACAAGAAAACAAAAAGACAAATGATTTTTTAATCATTATTAATAGCAACACCCTTTCCTTCAACTAGCATATTTCCCAAATCAATGTTATAAAATTCAACCCAGCAATCAATCCAGTTAGGATATTGGATTCATTCAACGACCGCATAAAAAGGGGACAAATTTTAGAAGACGGTGCTGCTACAGTTCACGGCGAACTTGCTTTGGGAAATTTGAGGTTAAATTGCTTGAATAGAATAATTATATTCAAATTTATATTTAATATTCAAAATTTCAAAAAATCACTAAATCTCACATACTTTTTATAAATTTATATGCTGAATTTCAAATATTCAATATTTTATTAATCAATTAAGTTTCATAAAATAATTTACCATGATAAATATAATATAAATTAATTTGTTAGAAAAAATATTTACATAAAATTTATTGTATGGTTATTTTAAAAATATACATTAAAACCATTCATAAACAAAATAAATCTTTAATACATTTATGTATGCAATAATTAATTTTTTATTTTCTAAAATTAATTAAAATATACTAAAAAAATACTAAATTCAAAAAAATAAAAATAAAAAGTAAAAAGCAAACATAGTAGTGGAGACATGGGAAATAGGGCACGGACACACAAGGACAATGTGCCGTTCACCATTTTCGAATTGCAAAATATCTTTTTCTTTCTCTCTCTCGTATGAGAAGACCAAAACCATGGATGTCTCTCCTCAACTTTTGCATCCATCGAATTCATCTCTTCAAAACCCAGAAGAGATTACCTATTTTTTTTTATTTTTTTTTTCAGGACATGACCTGGTATTTTTAAACCAACCGTTTACCCATTTTAACAAAAATCGCCGCCATGTCAAATCGGTTCATAAGACATGTCCAATCCATTATATAACTCGGACCGGTTACGATACCTGTTCACCAGTTTTCGATTTGAACCGGTCACTCCAAGCCGATTATTAGAAGACTGCCCCAAATGGCGTGGAAGATTTCAAATTATGTATTACAAGATGCACGTGAAGTAAACTTTACCATATGCTATCACATGCCACGCCATGTTTTACACAAAACACTATTTTATGATTGAATTAAACTGTAAGATGGTCACCACTTTTAAATATATTTTAGTAATTAAATTAATTTTGTTATTCTCACAAACACAAATTAATTATTCAAATATATTTATAATTTAATTAATAAACAAAAATTTCTTATATTATGTTTAGGATTTAGGAAAATTTATTAACATTGACTTAAAACAGATAGAAATAATTTTATTAACATCGTGAAGGGTTAGACCAATTTATATTCTTATGTTCTAATTAGTCCAATTTTTTTATCATGTTTCCTATATCTCTCTTTATTTTTTTATTTATTTTGAGTACAATGATGTTATTGAGATTTGAATCTACAATCTCACTTTCCAAACCTTTCACAGGTATAACCCAACCTTCATGCCTCATTTTTGTAAGTGGGTTGAAAATTTCAACCCAACTCGCCCCTCTAACTTGCCAACATATTAAAAAATGATTTTTTTTTAAAAATTATACTCCCCGTAGATATAAAAAGTATCAAATGAAGACAAAGAAATATAAAAAGCATTGTCAATTAATTTTTAAAATTAAAAAATAAAATTAAAAATTGCCCTGGCAGATCAACCCGTCTCACAACGAGTTAAACCCGTTTTGACCTACTCTTAAATGAGACGGGTTCAAGCAAGTTGAAAATCTTAACCCAACTTGTCATTTATGGTGAGTTAAACGGACCAATCCAATGTGTTAGACCCTTTGCCACCTAATGACTTCTTTTATTTCTCTTTTTATCTCTCCATATCTCTTTCTCTTTCTTTCTTCTACTTTTCCTCTCTTATTTATTTTTTATTTTTTATATATATATTTTTTATTTTGTTTATCTTTATTTTATTTTTAATTATTTATTGTTATTTATTTAATTTTTAGTATTATTCATATTTTTTTAATTTTATGTTTATCTTTTTTTCTCAACCTTTTAGTATTTTGCGTTTGATTTCCACCTACCCCAATTAATAAAATGACACTTCAACTGATCTATTCGTGACTTCAATGGTTAAACTCGTTGATCATTTTAACCGTAATAAAATTGTTCATATTTCCTATATAAATCCAAAGAAAGTAAGAACGAAAACTGTGTTCATTAATTAATTACGTTTTTATAAGCGTAAAAACCGGAACCATTAATTAATCCATTTAATAATTAAATGTTAATTTGTGAGAATTATAAAATCAATTGAATTAAGATATATCCAAACGTTGTGCCCGATCTCAAGGTTAGATTGTTTACATGGAGAGAAGGGAGGTTAAGAGTGTCATGTGGAGTATACTAATTGACAAACTCAACATTTAAAATAAAAATAAAAAAATACTACTCCACTTGACGAAA